ACAGATTCCTCATGAGCACAATTCAGTGTTTCGGAATACTTATACTTCGCAATGTTGTCCGTAGCTTGTCATGACCCACACAATGGAAAGTCAGTGGTAGAACTCTCACCTTCAAAAACAGGTTCAGTTCCTCACCAATGTACTTTAAAGCACCCACCACCTATATATAGTGGAGACTGAGTGTTGGCATGACACTAAACTGGTTTTAGCGGCTCTTCTAGACTGAGACAGACTAGCAAGAAAGACCTAGTGGTCTGCTTCTGAAAAGCAGTCAATGAAAACTCTATGGGTCATAATAGTCTAATTTGAAATTTGGCCTGGAGCTGGCTAAGTCTGAGCACTGTGCCTTTCATTGTACATGAAACTGCAGCCCACGGCGGCTAACAAGGAATGCATTCTAATGGTGAAGACCAAACACCATTGTTTTGTTTGAGTGTGTTTTATTTTTCTGGGTACTTTTTGCCTCTCTGAAGGCAGCACCCAGGCAGACAATGAGATGAGTCCCAGGCCTTATTCACCTGAGGATTTTAGGTAGACTAGGGCCAAGGCTGCCTAGGAGCCAACACGATTGTGATAGTTTCAATCAGATGGAAATACTGATACTTAAATCCAGCTCTCTTAGAGTTTCTTCCTGATGTCTGGAGAATCCCAAATCCAAGGAATGTAGTCTAAGAAAGACCCTTGTCTTCACTGAATGCGGCAGTTTGTAGACAGGGACCCCACTTTTAGTAGAGACCCTGGGGCTGCCTCCTTTTGATGTTCACCTTCTGGCTGCTGGACCCTCCTCCTTCCTTCTTCTTGCCCTTCAAAAACCGCCTTTAGACTCACACCAAACCCATATTCCACAGAAGGCTGCACGCATTGCAGTTTCTGATGGCTCCCAGGTAGCATTTCCTTCAGTGTGTACACAGGAATGAGTAAAATTGTTAGGCCTCTGCTCAAGTCAAAGTTTCTGGGTTGTCATTCTATCAACTGTCCGTTCTTAGAATTCTGAGGGAGATTCCCAGACGCTGACTGAAGTGGACCTCTTCATCTCCACCCAGAGGATCAAGGTTCTAAATGCAGACACACAGGTAAGTGCTGAACAGAAAGCTATGTAAAGTCATGCGGATTAATGCCTTGTTTAGAGTCCTGGTGTAACACTGTAGGATAGGCCCTGGACTGCTAACCACATGGCCAGGACTTCAAACTTACCAGCTGCTTTTTGGAAACCCTATGGAGGGTCACTATGAGTCGGGATGTACTGGATGGTACTTAACAACAGCAACAATGCCTTGTTTGGATCCCTGTTGTTGTTCAGTGCCATCGAGTCAATTCTGACCAATAGTGACCCTGTATAGGGTTTCCAGGGAGTGACTGGTGAGCTTGAACCGCCTACCTTGTGGTTCAAACCAACCTTGCAGCCCAGCGCATTAGTCCACAGTGCCACACCAGGACTCCCTAAGTAGTGCAAATTGTTACTGTGCTCACTTGCGGAGAGATGCCTAAGGGGGAAGGCATATAGTGATCTGAAAAAGCAGCCAATGAAAATCCTGTGAAGCAGTTCTCCTCTGACACATGTGGGCTTGCCAGAATCAACTCACTGACAACTAGGTTTCTTTTAAACTCCTAAGGACAAACTCCGAGAACAAATTCGGGTGTCGAAAAGCTTTTTGGGTGAGGTGGTTTTCCCTAGGGTGGTAACCAGAGTTACCCAGGTCTTGGGTCAGGTGCAGTTGTAGAAGTGAATGTATTTTGCAGGAGTCTGAATGTCAAGCTGGGAAGGCTAAAAACCACTAAGGGCAGGAGGTCAGGGATATACGTCTGCTGCTGCAACTAGCCGAGACCGGAGTGAGTTGGAAACTGTGTACTAATCACCGTGATGCTAGAGTAGCTTTCCAGAAACTTCCATGGCCTGAGCCCGGGAAATCCAGCAGGAGGCTGAGTCCTGCAGTGGTCCAGTGAAGAGAGGGCTGGAAGATGTCCTACTAGTGGTTGGAGCTTGTGAGCCAGGTCCCACCAGTCAGAGGTCACAGCTGATTGTGCTAGACTCTTGTTGGTAAGAGCTGTCAAGTTAGTTCTCACTCATAGTGACCCTGTATAGGGTTTCCGAGTAGCGGCTCGTGAGTTTGAACCACCAACCTTGCAGTTCAAACCAACCTTAGGACCAAGTGCTTATCCTACAGTGCCACATAGGGTTGTTGTAATAAAGTAAAGATCAGACGTTTATTCCCTCACAGTTCTGGAGGCTAGCAGTCCGAATTCAGGGCATTAACAGAGTCACGTTCTCTCTCTCGCCCTCTGTCTGTCCTGGAAAGATCTTTCCTAGTCTCTTCCAATTTGGGCAGCCCCGGGGTTCCTTGGCACTCCTTACCTTGTGGACAGATGACATTATCCCCCTTTGTGTGACTGTTTCTAGGTCACTGAGAAGGGATTAGGATTTGGACCGACCCTTTCAGATATGACCTTGTTAATTTTGCTGCTAACATTTACAAGGAAAAACTCCTTTTTCTAAAACAAGGTCATTTGTACTGGTTCAAGGATCAGGACACAATGTACCTCATGATACTGACTATGCCCCTGCTCCTCTGCTTTGTACCAGGATCACTCCGGGGGCTGATTAGCAGTGGGGAGGGCAGCGAAACAATTAAACCAAGACGTGACCATATACCTACCAGATGTCAAGGACCATGAGCTGAGATGAAGCGTGCTGGGGCAGTGGGGTGTATGTGTGTGTGTGTGCTGGTTTCATGGATGTAAATCAGGGGGAGGAAGTGCTGACTAACTCCGACTTGATGGGTGAAAGGAAGCTAGAAGTGAGGAGAGGAAAGGAAGACCCGTGCTCACTGTGGAGACCCCAACTCCTTCACTTGGCCTGGATGATGCCTACCAGATACCCAGTGTAGTGGTGCCAGTTCTCTTGGTAACTGAAGTCCTGAGACCCTGTATGTGGATACTCCAGAACCTTCTGCATCCAGGTCTTCGCATCCATTGAAGATCCTGCCCAAATTGGTTCCAACATTGCAGTGTGAAATACTTCACAGTTCTGTCATGTTTTCTACATTTATTTTCTCAAAACAAGAAGAGCATTTCCTTGTTGGCTCTCCTTCTCTCTGTCTCTTTTCTGAAGTTCCACTATGGAACTTTGGAGTCTTGGAGTCTCTCTTCTTCTTTTTAAAAAAACCTCACTGTGTTGTACTCAGTTACCATCATTACTCTATTTAGTGTTCACATTGCCCCAGACTGGGCCAGTGGCTTTTGATCTGGGTCCTGGGTCATTTTGACAACGTTCTCCTCAGTCTTTGAACTGTCTTAGCTTTCTGAGACAAGCAGATGATCTGAGCTTGCCCCAAATCTGGACAAGCCATTTCTTCAAGGAGCCCTGAATGGGGAATGACTTTTTGAAACCAACACCTGGGAGTTGGTTATGCTCATTGGGTGTCACTATGCTACTGGGGTGCCACTGTTCCTTAGCCTTTTCAGTGACTAGAATTACTATATATAGAGAGAGAGCAAAAGTGAGAGAGGGTCGTGGTGTGCTGCCATACGATCAGCACTGGACCTCAGGTCAGGTGGTTCAAACTCACCAGCCGCTCCTAGGAAACCCTATACAGGATCGCTGTGAGTCGGAACTGACTCAACAACACTTGCCACCAACACCAGTTTAAGTCACGAGTTCATCTTGTAGCTCCTGCTCAGAGCCAGCACCAGAGAGCTCTCACCACCACCCTCAATCCCATACCGACCCTTGTCTTGAAGTAAACCTACTGGTTCCAAGCAATGTCAGTGCATTCGTGTTTTCTCTGTCCTCCTCCACACTATACACTGGACTCCTGGAGTGGCACCATAGGACCAGCACTGGACTGCGAACCACAAGGTCAGCAGTTCAAAGCCAGCAGCCGCTCCTCAGAAACCCTCTACAGAGTTGGAACTGACACGATGGCACGTAACAACAATGCTAGAGCCTCTGCTCTGATCACTGCGCTGCTGGGGAACCACAGGGGAGTGACACAACTTGTTGTTGTTAAGTGCCATCAAGTCGGTTCTGACCTGTAGCAACCCTGTAGGGATTCCAAGGAGTGACTGATGAGTCTGAACCACCAACCTTGCGGTTCACACCGACCTTGCAGTTGAGTGTTTATCCTACAGCGCCAAACCAGGACTCCAGGCAAGCAGCAGATGAGGCCTAAATAATCCTGAGGCCTCATTGGGCAGGAGGTACATGGGTAGCTCTGGGGAGCCCTGAGCCCATTCTCTGACCTTCCCTGTGGGGATTCCTGATGTTTGGGGACATTTCAGGTAACAGAGCATGTCTCGAAACTGGTATGGGCCCACTAGGGGACTCATTCATACTGCTTCCACCTTCCACCCAACATCCTGTTGCTTGCCCCCCACCTTGTATCCCCTGACACCTCTCTGTGGTTACTGTGGCTCCCCTGTCCCTCATGTGTCTGCCCCCCATGTCCTGTGCCTACATTCAGGGGCTTGTTGCACTGACCTTTGTGTCCTGGCCTCCTCTGGACACCTGGTACTTGACGACAACTCAGAGAGATACCATTTACCCCTGGAGTCAGTCTGGGGTCAAGTATTGGGCTTTTGTTACCTGATCTTCTGTGAGCAAATGTCTGGACAGATCCCCTCTCCTTGCCCCTCTACTTTATCTCCCCACCTGTGTTGAGGGTCCCTAAGACCACCTCAAGCTTGATGATTCTCTCGAAGGGCTCAGCATATGGCTGGGATTTATTGCCGTGGAAGGACACAGCAGAACCAGCTAAGGGAAAAAGAGTGTAGTGTGAGACCCGAGGAAACCAGGTGCTAGCGTCCAACTGTAGAGCCACCCAGAGTGCGTGTAATTCCTCCAGCCACAAGTTGGGGCAACACCTGTGAACTGTTGTCTACCTGGGAAGCTTGTTAGAGACTCAGCATCCAAGGTTTTTACTGAGGGCGCATCCGCAATTCAAACCCACTAGCTGCTCCCATGGCGAACGATGATGCTGTCTGCTCCCGTCTCAGAAACCCTGTATAGGGTAGCTAGGAGTCAGAAGCAACTTGATAGCAGTGGATTTTAGGCTTGGGCCATGTAAGTAGCCTCTGTCTAGCACGGGAGGAAACCAGGGGCTCAGCTTTAACCCCATTGTTTGCACAGTTCAGGTGCCAAGAGCCAGGCTTTTCAGATGGGCTGGTAAGCAGGCAGTTTAGCCAAGGGAGGCAGCTTCAGGCCTCCCTTGTTCACCCTCCTCAGCATACCTCTCTCCAGCTGACAAGCATTGGAAGGCACTGTTACCTTGGGGTAATGGAAACACGGCTCCATCACTTGGGATTGTGTGATCTTAGACAAGTCAGGTCAGCAGTTCAAACCCACCAGCTGCTCCTCGAAACTGTATATAGGGTTACTGTGAGTTGGTACTTACTCAACAGCACTTAACAACAGACAAGTTCCTGTACATCTCTGAGCCACCATTTGCTCTCTAAAATGGGGGTGAAGATAAGCTCCTTGCCAATTCCTATTGGTGAAGGGTCCCAGAACTTGGAAGTAGCTTGGGTCTTGGCCTAGAACAGGGGCTCTGGCTTCCTTGCTCACCCCTCCCTTTGCCCCTTCTGTGTCTTTGGTTTCAGAACAAGGTCAGAGGAGTCATAGGTGAGAGGGATCAATGCAGAGAGTCCTCAGTTTGGTTTGGTTTGGTTTGGTTTTGCCCGTTTCAAGATGAGGTCTGGACTTTCCCAGTACACTGCCCAGGAGCGTTGTGGCTGTGATGAGAAAGCAGAGCATTTGCCACCAGGTGTCCACACCAGTTGACCACCAAGGCCAGGTCTTTGGATGGTCATGTTTGTTTTCCACAGTCCATTTTGCTTGATGTTGATTCTCAGGACTCTCTACCCTGGGTCGGTGGCTGTGGTGACTGAGTTCAAGGACATCGTCCTATTACATTCAGGACGGGAGTGTTATTGTCCTTTGGAAGACATCGATTCCCCAGCCCACCACAACCCTGCACGTGTGCTCTGTGGAGTGCTGCCTGGACCCCACCTACACAGGTTCAACCTTGGGGATCTGGGAAAGATCCGGGTTCTGGTGCTCTCTAGCTGCTGGAATTCCCCGCAGTTTCCCAGTCTCAGCAGACAGGAATGTTCTGGCCATAGAGAAGGAAACCTGAGCTTTCAACAGTTGTCAGGTTTCCCAGAAACACGTTGCTAACAGTTTGAATTTGAAGTGGCCGAATGCCCCACCTCCCAAATCTTCACTGGAGGACTTACAACACCTGGGCGCAGTTCCTTGGGACCCATAGTCTTCTCCCAGCATCCTGACCCACCGAAGACGGGGTCTTTGTGATGTGGAGGGCTTCCCTGTACGTCACCCCAAGAGCCCTCCCCAGAGTGAACTCCCGGCAGGGACGGTCATGGGCCTTCTTGTAACAAAGCCGAAGCTGTCTTGGGATCCAGTTTCCGGAGACCTGCCACTTTCTCTCCTCTATGCTGGCCAACCAAATTCTCTCCTACCCCCACCTCTGCTCGTCTGAAGACTTTAATGGACATCTCTCCAGGCCTTTAGTTTCCTGAAGAAGCCCCTTGCCTTTTGGTTTGTATTTCTGCCCCCCTCTCTCATCAGTGTGCCTGATTTGGAGGCAGCTCTTAATAGTCGGTCAAATAGTTGACAATTTGTACTATGATGTACCTTCCTGAGCCGTCTCTGTGTCTTGATCTCCTCTCTGTCCCATGACACTGGGACAGATGGGTATCCTCATCCTTTCAGAAGACTGCTCTCTTTTGACTTGGCTTGTTCTAGCCAGCTGTGAGCAAGTTCCTGATCTATAAACTCCCTTCCCTTCTGTTCCCACCTGGGCCCCCTCATTGGATCCAGCAGCGAGGGTGAGGGGTGCGTGGCCAACAGTCCTGGAGCTATTTGGCAGGAGGAGTGACCCAGACTCCCAAGAAGCTGTGCAGAGGAGGGTGAGGAAAACCCCACTGTCAGATGGAATTGTATCCCAAAAATATATGTCCAGTTGGCTGGGCCATGATTCTTGGTCGCTTGGCAGTTACGGAATGATGTCAGCTGGCAGTTATGGAATGATGTAATCATCCCTGTGAGGCCATCTGATGTAAGGGTGGGATACAACACCCTTCACTGACTCACAACCCTGCTCTGATTCAGGGGAGCTTCCCAGGGCTGTGCCCTGCATCACCTTTTATCTTACAAGAAAGAAAAGGAGAGAGAAGTGAGCAGGGAGGGGGCCTCCTACCACCAAGAAAGAAAAGTGGGCTGTGGAGTACGTCCTTTGGACCCAGCTCCTGCACTGAGGAACTCCTAAATCCAGGGGCAGAGAGGTGCCAACGGCCTTCCCCCAGAGCCGACGCACAGAGAGAGAGAGCTTTCCCGTAGAGCAGGGCCCTGAATTTACTTCTGGTCTCCGAAATTATCGGAGACTAAATTACTGCTTGTTAATGCCACCCGCGTGAGGTGTTTCTGCTAAATCAGTGTCCTAGATAATGAAGACAGCTGCTGTGTTCATGCCCTGTCACATGAATATGGGGCCCATAGGCTTGGCAGGGAGAAAACACCGGGCATCCACACACCTCGATGAGTCTGCCGAGGCACCTCTGTTCTCTTTGTGTGATAAGAACATTGCTGACTTATCTTGCTGGAGAATTGCCATTGTTTGTGGCGCTCACCCTCTGATTGGAAGCCCCTGTTCTAAGGCTGAGGAAAGAAGCAGGCGTGCCTGGCTCCTGAGGAGCCCACCAGTGCATTGGGTGGAGGAGACACACCTGGTTCGCTGTGCTACTCCACAGAGGCCTAACTCCTACAGTGGAACCTTGGGACCCTGGGGTGACCTTACGTAGTGGAGAACCTGCCGGGAGGGAAGACCAAGCAGGACTTGGTGAGATGTGTGGATGGAATTGCCTAAAGAAGTAGTCGGCATCGATGCTGGATATTTGAGATGGTTGCTCGTGGTTGAGCATCCATAGTTTGTGAGCTTGTTTAGAATGAACTGGAAGAGAGTTGAGGTGGCAATACAAATGTTGGCAGAGATGCTGGAGAGGTGGGAACAGATGAGAAAGACCGTGGAGGCTGAGTTGGCCAGTCAGGACAGAGGACAGAGACTCCATTGGTAGGCACCTGTGTCGGCAAGGAGAGTGGCTTTGTCCTTACCATCAACTGGGAGTTGTGAGAGGCAGATTTGTGATATCTGGGGTCTGATTTGGACATTTCTGAGCAAGGCCAGAAATCAGGGGAGTTTGAAGAACCAATCCCAACTGTACCTCTTCCCATGTCCCTCCCTTTTGTCCTTACAAAGCATCTTCTGAGCCTGGGCCAGCAGACAAATCAGTACCAGAGGCAAACATGGAGCAAAATCCGCTGCCAGAATGAGTTCTGTGAGGGAGAAAAGGACTTCAGAGATTTGCAAGAACACCTTGTTTCCTTTTGTCGAAGGAGAATAAAAGTACAAAAGACCAATTGATTGGTTTTTCAGAGCCTTTGTGTGCTGTCTTGTTAGGTGGGGGTTATGGGGAAGATTCCTGTCAAAAGACAAAAGCTATCAGGAGTAATGAAGCTTCCAAGCGGCCAAGGACCATGGGGACGGCTGGTCGCTGTCAGGCATGCAGAGAACCCATTCTGTGGGAAAGGTTAATAGGACCTCCTGCCTGAGTTTGACCAGACGTCCAGGCCTGGCTTAATGGTGGCGGGAGTGAGAGCTCTTCCTTACAGGTAGCCCATCTCTCATCAAGGTGTGGCAGGTTCCAGCAGATGGCAGCATCCTGCTATTTCTCCTACAGGGATGGATGTCCCACCTCACCATCAGGCCTCCACAAGTGTTGGTCAAGATCCATGCTGGAAGTTGGGGCTGAGGCAAAGGCATGGTCAACTTGACCACGAACTGCCCTAAAGTGTGACGTAGAGTGGGTCCCTCATCTTGAATGATTTTGCCCTCAAGGGTATATTTGATTGGAACAGCTGTGTGTGAGTGTGTGTGTGAGTACATGTAAGTGTGTGAGTGTGAGTGAGTGGGTGTGAGTGTGAGAGAGAGAGAGTGTGTGTGTGTGAGTGTGAGTTGAGTCTCTGTGTGTGTCAGTGTCAATGAGTGTCAGTGTGTGTGTCAGTGTGCATGTGAGCGTGCGTATACATGTGTGTGAGTCAGCGAGTGTATGTCCCCATGTGTATGTTAGTGTGTGTCAGTATGTCAGTGGGTGTGTATGTCAGTGAGTGTGTGTGAGCAAATGTGTATGCATGTGAGTGTGTGTGTACAGTGTGTGAGGGAGCAAGTATGTGTGTGTGTGTGTGTCAGTGTGTGAGTGTCAGTGAGTGGCAATGAGTGTGTCAGTGAATGTGAGTGTGTGTGTGTGTGTGTGTGTGTGTGTGTGTGTGTGAGCGAGCAAGTTCCTACTGACCAGGGACCAGGGATGATGCTAAGCATCCTGCACTTCACAGGACAGCTCTTAACACGAAGGATGACCCATTACAGCATTCAGTAGTGCTGAGGTTGAGAAACCCAGAACTAACGTGTTCCTTAATGACTGATACTCCCCCATTTTCCACCCTCCCGCCCCCCACTTTGCCAGGAAACCATGATGGACCACGCCTTGCGCACCATCTCCTACATTGCTGACATTGGGAATATCGTGGTGTTGATGGCCAGGCGCCGCATGCCCCGGTCAGCGTCTCAGGATTGCATCGAGACCACACCCGGGGCCCAGGAGGGAACGAAGCAGTACAAGATGATCTGCCACGTGTTCGAGTCAGAGGATGTAAGTACAAATCAGTGTTGAAGCAATCTTCGTGTCATTCTCAGTGTTTCCAATGCAGTACGTGAGTTTTTCTAACACTCTGAGTTTGCAGTGACAGTGAATGCAGTTTCATCCCGTTTTTGAAATAGTAGGTTTGTCCAGGAGCTTTTATTAGTAGTTAAATATACTTCTGTTTGAAGGACTCCTTTTGCAAACACTTCTCCCCCTAAAATAAAAGAATCCCAACCTATCTTTTCTGTTAAGATGCACATTTTCACATGCCAGGTTGTCGGCAGGAGGCAAGAGCTTAGCTCTGTTTTTGCAGGTGGCATTCACCTAATTACTGGGTAGAAAGTGATTCTGACGTTTAAAAAAGAGACCATAAACCTTGATTTCTTCTTTGAGTGGGATGGAGCACCTCTATGGGCCTGAAATGGGAGGGAGGAGCCATGGCGGCAGCGGTAGCAGCAGCAGCAGAGCCAAGACGGGAGCTCAGGAAGGCGATTTGGGTCCTGGTTTCCTTTGGGATCACCATACCCAAACCAAACCTGCCACGGAGTCAGTTCCGACACAGCTGTAAACCTTTATAGGAGCAGAAAGTCTCACCTGCCTCCCGTGGATCAGGCTCTGGGTTTGAACTGCCAACCTTGCATTTAGCAGTCCAGTGCTTATCCTACGTGACAGGGAGGTTGTTATTGAACCTTTCTTATTAATGTTGCCAGAGTAGAACCGTTCACATGTTTCTGTTCCCTGTGGACACTTAGCTAGGACAGTCTTGTCTACATAAGGATTTAAAGTTCTCAGTCTTTCCAAGATCCTGAAATAAGGCTTCAAAGCTAATTGTCTAACCCCATGTTGGAAGACTGGAACGTAGTGGGTGGGAGCAGTAAGGGGTGCAGTGAGCTTTTTTTCTCACAAGTTGAAGTCAATTTGATGTGTTTTGAAGCCGAAGTGCATTGTAAGTGAGGAAATTTAAGTATTGACCCATGAATGCATACACACATTCTTTCCACAGATGCTCATGGAAACCCGGGAGGGCCTTTAGTGTGAGGATGTCTTGAAGACCCGCAGTGACGTGATGGGGCCATTCAGAATGGCTACAAATGCGGGGAGATGGAAGGCAAGATACAGGCTAAGAGGCCCAGGGCACAGGGTCAGCCAAAGAGCAGGAAGCAGGAGGGTCTCGGAGGCGCTGGCCAAGATGTAGGTGTTCGCATAGAGATGGTACCTACCAGCAGCAACAGAAATTGGAGGGAGGCGGTTACAGAAACATGTTGTTGTTGTTGTTGTTAAGTGCTGTTGAGTCGGTTCCGACCCATAGCGACCCTGTACAGGGTTTCCAAGGTTGTAAATCTTTACGGGAGTGGAAAGCCTCATCTTTCTCCCGCGGAGCGGCTGGTAGTTTCGAACCGCTGACCTTAAGGTTCGCAGCCCGATTCGTAACCACTACGCTACTAGAGCAGAAACATGGCGCCCACTATTTCCCCTGTAACACTCACTGCTCCTCCTCTGGGTTTGGTAATCCATGGCAGTGATCACATAGAAGCCAGATGGCGCTCACAGCCACGGGGTTTATTCAGGAAGTTAATAGGTTACAGTGTAGGATCGGAAAATGCTCAGGGCATAGTTATTCTAGGCAGGACAGCGTATCCTCAGCTGTGCCATTCTCTGCCCGGGCATTGATGTACTTGGAGGGCTGCTGACCGATACCCACAGGATACACCACTCCACCCTTAGAAGCCTCAGCCTGAAGGGCCTCGGCTCTAGCTCCGTGGGTCCACAAACCCAGCTCTCCCACTTAGGAGCTGTTCCTGTCTGAAGTCCCCCAGCTTTACTCGCCCTGTTGTAAAGCATGGGGAAGCCCATGCTTTGGTTCTACCAGTGCTCCACCACTGCTCAGGTGGGATAGCTTTCTGTCCCTGGGTCGAGGAGATTCAAAGGACACACTCAGTGGAGTGTGTCCTGCTCCCCTGCTTTGATGGTAGTGAGATCTCCTCCAGCTTCTGAGAAGGCTTGTTTTAGCCATCCAGGCTAGAGTTTCAAGTTGCTACAATGCCCGTGAACTGTTAACATCCACAGCTGACTTGTGTTGGCCTCTCACGGGCTCCTCACACCATCTCTTACTCAGACCCGTCAGGAGAAGAGTTATTTGGTGGGAGTAACAAAGACCCACACACCGGTACAGTCTCAATGTCTTCAATTCAGTCGATAGCAAGACTGAAAGTAAAGCTGGTGTGGTGGCTAGAAGTGACCTGTAAGAGAATGAGGGAAGGACTGACTTGCTCCAGGGAAGGCAGATCCAGGCCAGCCCAGGTGGCCACAAAGCTGCCCGCTGCTCTGTGAGATGGGGTCTGAGGTCTGATGAACATGGAGGGGAAGGTAAGACTCGCTGTCCCCTCTGGGTCTCGATTTTCTCCTGTCCAGTGGAGCAGGGGGCGGTGGCAGAAGAGCCAGTGAAGGTGCTGAGCACGGAGCAGAGCCCACTGCTGTACCACACCCGGCCTGATGGCTTCTTTTCCAGGCAGGCCCGGGAGCAGCCTGGGCCGGGCTCCTGAGACTCAGTAGGGAACACCAGCAGACATGGCTGTATGCTGCGTCAGGTGAGCCCCTGGAGAGCCCTCCAGAGCCGGCTCCCCTGCCCATTTAGATGGGATCATGGGAAATGGGGAAGAGACGCAGACAGGTGGGCAGAGGTTTGTGAAGGGTGTCTTGGGGTTTCCTGTGAAGGAAGCCCATGTCCCCCTGGTGTGAAGGGGAGTCTGGGTATGAGGGGGACTGGGAAGAGACCCCAGAAAATGAATGACAGCAGAGTCTAAGGTCAGTGGGTAGTTAGGGCCAAGTTCTAGGATGAAGGTTTTCAGATAAACATTCCACCTGGGTGCCTTCGGGTGCCAAACTTTAGGGAAGATGGGTTGTAACCTAAACCCAGGGCCATCACAGACCCTGAGAACTCCATCTGGCAGGGAGCAAGGTACATCTTGGCTGCTGCGTTGTCCACCCCCATTCCTTCTAACTCCTGGAGGCCACTGTGGGCCTGAGCTTTCAGGAATCATCCGGAGTGCACCCCCACACTGTCCACACAGTCCCAAGCTAATGATGTCACTAGGCTGCCCCATCTTGGTGAACCAGTGAGCCGCAAAACTTAGTCATCTGCCCTGCAGTGACGGGGTCAGCAGGACACACCTCCAAAATGGTAGATGTGGGGGTGGCAAGGCTTGTTTGGAGTCCATTGCTTGGGGCACCATTTGGGAGGAAGAGTTCAATCTCGAATCATTCTATGTGAAGTGAGGTTCCCTGATATGTGTTTCTCATCTGGCCCAGGCCCTTTCTCATGTGTGTGCCTATTAGCAACACTGACGTAACGTGTAGGGTGAGAAGGAACGAGATGTTTAGGCAGTTCTCTTCATTCTCATGATCTTGTCCTTTTGGCCTGACGTTTGCTCAACCACCCATGTGCACAGGTCCTTGATGCAGATGGGAGGGAGCTGTGGGGGGTGGGAGTGTGGGGTTGGGGACAGGGAACGGGCTGGGGTGCTCTGACCATGCTCTTGATGGAGCGTTCACGTCCTGTTGCTTACTCAGTGTGTGCTAGGCATTGAGCTGAGTTCTAGCTCTTCTCTCCTGTTCTCCCCTTCCCATGACTACACATGCCTGTCTGCAGAATGGCTCCTGTGAGTTATAGAAGAATTACAGAAGGAGCCTGCAATCACCACGAAGGTGATCTGGTCAGTGGGGTCTATGCTTTGCTCAGAGTCCGTAGCCTGTCCCGGAGGTCATGTTGGAACAGGCCTGGCTCATAGGTCAGAGGGAGAGTTCTGTGTGCTGCATGCCAGCTAGAACCCTAAGCTCTAATCCAGAACAGGTCACTCACCTGAGTCACGCTGCCCCGGAAGCAAACCCTAGGCTCTCCTTCACGTTGGCTTTCCCTCAGACTTACGGCTCTTCTTCTTTCTGAGACGTGGAAAATTCTTCTCCTCACACTCACCTCCTTCTAAGGAAGGCTATCTTGCAATGTGATTTTTATAAAAATTTCTTGTTTCCAGTTGCCCTTGAGTCAGCTAGGACTCTTTGTTGTTGTCAGGTGTCATCGAGTTGAAGACAGTTCACAGCAACACTTTGTACAACCGATCGGACTTACACTGGTAATTCTGTGCTCCCTTGAGTCAGCACTTGCTGACTCAAGCCACTCCACTTTTCTTCAAGTTCTTCTTCTCAGAGCCCTAAGTCTCACAGCTTTAATGTGAACGGACAACTTTCTAACCCCTCCTAATAACGCACATGCTTTCATTCTTTCATTTGGACTTTCGGGTTAGTTTTACTATGTTTTTCTGTTTATTTTTTGAGTCTTCATTTTACTTCCTCTGGAGGGTGTCTTCAAATTACTTAGGATTTGATCTCTGAGGGAACGTGATCTCTGAGGGAACATTAGCTGATCTCTGAGGGAACCTCAGCTGCAAGGGAACATTGTTGTCTAGAGATGTCTATTTTGCCCTTATTTTATACAGATAGTTTAGTTGGGTATAGACATTGAGGTTGAAACCACCCTCCCAAACTTGGACATCAAAGATGTTGCACATTGTCTTATAGCATCCGTTGGCACTAAGCCTGACTCCATTCTCATTCTTATCCCTCTGTAGGGATCTTGTGTTTTCAGTCTGGGATATTGAAGGCCCTTTGTTTATTCTTGGTGTTCTAAAATTTCATAACAGCATGTTATCTGGGCATGAATCTTTTTAAAATTGTCCTCAGCATTTTGTGGATGTGTTTAATCTGTACCCTCTTTTTCGTTCTTCAGATCTGAAATGTTTTCTTCTGATTATTATTTTTTTAAACAACTCCCTGCCCCTTTGGAAGTGTTTCGGTCTTTTGTAAGTTTCCCTGGAACTCTTGCTATTTTTTTCTCTACGTTACCATCTCTGTTTTGTTAATTGATGTTGACTTTTGTTGCATGATCTGCAAAATTTCCTTCATTTTAAATATTAAGCCACTAATCATGTTTCCAAAAATCAGTTGTCTGTCTG